GCACCCTTATGAACAAGACCCGAAAAGGGACCTTATTCCAGAGAACCACCCGTTTGAGTCGGTGCTTGAAGATTGGAACTGCTTGGTGCAGAGCGACGGGCGGCACAGGTGCCGGACAGCTGGCACATGGGGTCACAAGCCTAAACCTGCGAAGCAGTACATCGTAAAGCCTGAGCCCCGTTCCCAAAAAGCTCTTCAATACCTACTCTGTAAGACTAAAGGAAACTACAGGTGGGGAGTTTAGGGTAGATAGAGGTTATATAAAGGGTTTGTATAAGGTATATAGACCTTCTATAAGGCTCCTATAACGGTAACTACCCACCTGAAAATGTCCTAGATAAGCCATTCAACTCTTCGGGCGGGAAAGAGTTGCGGGTTTAGGGTTTAGGGTTTAGGGCAGGAGCGATCATGGCGCCCGACAGCCCCGCGCTAAACCCCGAACCCGGAACCCCTGAACCCCTCAACTCCAAACCTCACACCCTTCAAATCCCAAACCCTAAGGCCTGAACCCTTAAACCCCAGAACCCTTAAACCCAGAGCCTCTTAATACCCCAGAAGCCTAAACCATAAACCCCCTTTAGACCCCAGACTCCTCCAGCAATGACCGAGAAGCTGACCTTGGTAAGACTCTCTCGCAGAGGTGAAGGTTTCGGCAGATGAAGAATGGTTTAGAGTTCGAGGTTTAGGGTTTAGGTTGTTGTTAAGTGTAATGGCCCGGGTTTAGGGTTTAGGGTTTCGGTTTTTGTATGTTTCTTTACTGGTCTCCCCGTCCCCCCTCTCGGTTGCTATGTTCACACCAAGTCTTCCTAAAGAGCCATATCCACGCGCCAGCATGCATAACATGAACCCAACTTCACATTAAACCCTATCACAAAGCCTAGAAGAGCACCACGGGCTCCGGGAGAAACCCAGATAATCCCTTCCGTAGTATAAGGGCCGTAATGATTGGAATCTCGTGCTGGGGTGCATATACGTGCATATACACATACCATATATATATATACATACATACATACATACATACATACATACATACATATATACATAATA